TTGGGATCATGCTTTAGTACTGTTATTTTTAGTCACCACAACTTATTCGTGAACTGCCAACACAACCATATTTGGCGTTTCAATTTGGCGCCAGTTGTGCACAAGATGTGGAAACTCGTCCGCAAGTCTTTGTCAATGATCCGTATCCGTTCATCGTGAATGAGGACTGCTTGTACTTGAACATATTCTCTCCAGACGTCAGTTTTCTTAATTTTATTCCATAGCCCTGGTTTCAAGTCTTACTCTGATCACTCAAGGTTTCAAAAGTGTCCGGTATGTCCTACCCGGTCATGGTATTCTTCCACGGTGGAAACTTTCAAACCGGCTCGGCCAACGAATGGCCTGCTCATGGTTTAGCGTCTCGTGGTATGGTCGTGGTCACAGTGAACTATCGTCTTGGTGCGCTAGGTGAGATCCAAACCCTTTTCCCAGAAGTCCTCTGGTTTATGGACCCGTTCGTTTTGAACGGTGTCTTCAAAAGGAGGAGAAATCATCGTGCACACCTTACCCCCAATGCATTCATTTGTGCTTTGGTCATTTAACGTGCGTACAGTAGCAAAAAGTATTATCGATTTTATTGGTTGACTAGCTCAAAAAACCCAAAAATCAGCGCGAATTAAACTTTTGTCTTCGTTCGTTACTATTTCATGTTACCTCTACGCAACCTCTAAGTGTTTTAAATGAAATCCACCTAGGATTCAGTTTTCACGGGAATAAGATAGAAAATTGCGCTACATATCTATTTGTAATGAGTTTTTGCTTGAAAAGGGTTCAGGCTTTCTGTTAGTAATTTGGAACCCTTTGCAGTGCTTACTGTTTACCCATTGCAGTAAAACTATATAAAGCTGCTTGGCTTTGGGTGTTGGTCTCATGGGCTCAAATACTAGTTTTGGTTCGGTTTTGACCATTCTGTTCTTTGGCACAAGCCTTTTAAAACGAGAGCCCTTATTTGGGTTCCTCTTCTTTACCTTTAGCTTTCTTTTTTTGCCCTCGACCTATCTTTTGGATTTTTCAACTCTTTATCCATTTATTCTCTTTGCGCTTTTCTTGAATTTTACCAAATCTGCAATGTTACTGAGCATCTTATTTGTAATTCGTTGACCTATACTTTTTAAGGGTTCATGAGTCTCGGTGATTCCCAATCTGGAAACTATGGTCTCATGGATCAACGGCTTGCGTTGCAATGGATCCGGGACCATATTCCAGCGTTTGGAGGTGATCCACAAGCCGTAACTATTGTTGGCCATGACGCAGGAGGTGTTTCAGTGGGAATGCATATGCTTTCGCCCTTGTCTAAATGTAAGTTTACTAGAATGTTTTGTCAAAAACTTTTTTCCTCGCTACCATTGAGTGGTTTTAGCTTTGTTCCGTTCTGCGGCTTCAATGTCCGGTGCAGAAGTTTCGTATCATTCATATATTGGTAAGCCAGCTCTCGCTTTCAATAACACTATCAAACTGGGCCGATATCTTGGATGCACTCAGTCCGTCGCATATGACGTTTGGAACTGTATTTTATCACGTTCAACGAATGACATTGTCCGTGCCACGACGGATATTCCCATAGAGTGAGTTCATGGCTTACACCCTTTTCTTTGTTGATATCTTCACAGACAAAGTAGTGGAGATTTCTCTTCAGATATAATCGCTACCTGTTCCTCCCCACTGTTGACGGCGTGAACATTCCGGGAAATCCCCTGTGGATCCTGAATAATGCTCCGACTGGCCTTGCAGCTATACCAAGTGCGGTGCCTTTACTGATTGGAATGAATGCACAGGATGGCACAGAGGTTCGTTTGGGATTCACCAATTTCTTGGAAGTCCTTTGGTTTATGGATCCGTTCATGTTGAGCGGTATCTTCAAAAAATGGACGAGATCATTGCGCACTCCTTACCTCCACAGTATACTATTTGTACGAGTGGTCATTTAACGTGCGAACAAAACGTTATTTCATCACCATACTATTGAATGTGGTGATTATTTGGATGTTTTAAGGTTATCCTCGAAGACAGACTTCTTGGCGAGTTTAATGACTTCAACAATGTGGATCAGGAGTATTTTCGAAGTTATGCACTGGAGTATGCATTCCGGCACAACTATACGATGAATCGTGAAGCGATTGTGGAAGCCATTATCGATCGATACACCTTCTGGCCAGATCCAGCGGACGAGTGGGCCGTTCGTAACTCATTTATCCACTTCGCTACTGATGCCTATTATACTGCTCCTGTAAGCCTTTCCGCTCATCTTCACTCAGCAGCGGGTTCACGTACATTTATGTACGTGAATAATTATAATTTGTCGAGGACTGGCTTCATACCAGGATGGATGGGTTAGTTGGAATTGTATGCTTACCGTATTCTATTGATTGATGATTTCCTTATTGTAGGGTCCTGCAGGGAATGCGATTTGTACTTGTTGTTCGGTTATCCGTTTTTGCCTGACGATCTCCGCCCTTATCATTTGCGAGGGGTAAATTTCACGGATATGGATCGGAATGCGAGTCAACTTTTCTCGAACATATTCCGGCGTTTTGTTTATCATCAGTGAGTGGGCATTTTTTACTTAATTTTATATTTACAATAACCTTTTACTAGTAAGCAGCCTTTTCCTTCAGAAATCCAAATTTCCTTTATGACGGGTCCTGGTCTGCTCTTGAACCGAGGCGTCATTGGTATATGAACTTTAATTACTCTCACTGGTCTGAAATGTCTATTCCTGGAAAGTTGGAACGGGATTACCGGTACGAAGAAGTCGCCTTTTGGAACGAGTACATACCAGCTTTAGTAAACTACATGACAACGACTTTTCCTCCCTCAGAGGTCTCAGTTAGGCGACAATTAATGGTCTTTCAATGGGTCGTTGCTGTTGTGGTCGCATTTTTGTTGTTATTTATTGTATTAACGGGTGGCTTTGCGTATCAAGTTTGTGAACGGTCTCAAAGTCCGAATGATATCAAAGAATCTCATCGCCTAGTTGAACATGTGGATAACTTCAACTCTGCTAGTTCCTCCATTCATGAACCTCATTTTCATCGTATCAGTAATCTTTAATATTTATTATGTACATAGTGTTAATAGTGTTATATTCCTGTAAATAGTCGACGAGCTTTGTTATTGACCTTTCCTTTATCTTTCACTTACTGATTTGAGCTGGTCTCAAGTAAAACTTAATTTACTCAGATGTTTTTTGTGTATGTGAACGGGTTCATCGCCGTACAGTCTTGTTAATTTTGTATTTTGTATGTAAAATTGTAATCCCTAACAGTATTTTATTCGATCAGTTGTAAAGAAATTTAGTTGGGATAATGGCACCGCCAAAGACTGTGAAGAAGGGCAAGGTATCGAAGGCACTTGATGCCAAGAAGAAGGTGGTCAAGGGACAGAAGACGTTGCAGAAGAAGAAGGTGCGTACATCTGTACACTTCCGTCGGCCGAAAACCCTAAAGACGCCAAGGGTTCCTAAGTAGGTTTGAACTGTTGAAGCTAGAGCATTGTGTAGTTGTTTTTAGCACATCCTTTTTCGTTCAGATATCCTCGTAAATCCGCTCCAGCACGATGCAAGCTCGATTCGTTCACTATTATCAAGCACCCACTGACAACTGAGTCTGCTATGAAGAAGATCGAAGACCACAATACGCTTGTCTTCATCGTTGATGTACGAGCGAACAAGCATCAAATTCGGACAGCTGTGAAGAAGTTGTACAATATTGAGGTGCAAAAGGTAGGTAGTATAAGTATAGTACTTTATAGCATATGTAGTATTATATTTTTGTTGAAATGTAGTTGGAGGGGCTACTTGTTTTTGCCCCCTTGTCGGCGGACTCTCATGATCAGTGCAACAGTATCCTTGATCATTTCCTCCTCCATTCCGACTTTTTGGGAGAATCAGTTTTTTGATCACCCAGGCTCTAACTTTTGCTGGTCCCTTTTTTGTATTACAGGGTTGGCCATAAATATAGCGACAAGGTTTTCACTTTATATCTCAGAAAGCAAAAGTGCAAACGAGTCATGAACATAACATTTATTAAGTAACAACTGGTACATTAACAATCATAAGTTACTTCTCGATTCGCCCACTTTTGGTATGGACGACTGCGCGAGTCGCTTGGGAAAGGCGTCGATGACCGGACGCAGGAGTGCGACGTCGATTTCGTCCCATTCTCAGATGAGCGCTGCCTTCAGAGAATCCATATTGGGGTGGGAAGTGGTGCAGGCCTTGCTCTCAAGGTAGGACCACAAGCTACAGTCTAGTGGGTTTGAAACCGGTGACGATGCCG